TTTTTTTTTTTTTTTTTTTTTTTTTTTTTGTTTTTTTTTTTTTTTTGAGTATCAAGACTTAGCTCATGAACAAATTATTGATTGTTGCCCTTTTTTGAATAATCATCTTAATTTGAGCCCTGCACCTCCAAATTCTGTGTATTACAAAGCTACTTTTCTACTCAAATTGTTCTTTTTTATTTACCATTTAACAAAAACATTGAATTGGTTTTGAAGCCCACAACCTAATTTATCACTCACTGAATTCAAGCTCTTGTTTATTATAGATATCAGTATTCATAGCATGATACGTTTTAGTTTTTGTTAGGAGTGCAAATACAGTCCTATTTTGGCTAAGGACGTTGGTTAGGCATGTATCTCTGTAAGTACGAGACTTTTTAGGTGAACCCAAAAGTAAATCCACGAGAGATTGTGTTCAAATAGTATCTTACTATTAGAGAAATATGCGTGAATCCATGAAAGATTAAAATAGTATCTTACCATTAGGGAAATATGCATGAATCCATGAGATATTATGTTCAACTAGTATCTTACCGTCAGAGAAATATGTGGGAATCCATGAGAGATTATGTTCAAATAGTATCTTACCATTTGAGAAATATGCGGAATATCCAATGTTCTTAAATTTTTAACGTTTGTTAGGTAAGTTATGGTAGGCTAAAGTGGAATATGGAAAGTTTAGGAAGCTTGATGTGAAAGTTCAAGAACTTGCTTGTTTTCTCTGGCTCTTGATACTCACTTTCTTGGTTGTCATGTATTTAGGTATCAGATATGGATAGCCTAGTGGACTCTTTAAATAACGCATATCAGGAGTTTGTTTCTGGAGCAGCCAATGTCCTTGAAGCAAATGAGGCCTCAGGGGCTCAGAAGACAGCAGCAACAGATGCGGCTCTTGAAAATTTCAAACAGAAATGGGAGCTATTCAGGGTTGCTTGTGATCAAGCAGAGGAATTTGTGGAGTCTGTGAAGCAGAGGATAGGATCAGAGTGCCTTGTTGATGAGGCCACTGGTTCACTGGCTGGCAAGTCTGGGCAGGCCGCCGCCACCACCACCGGCCTTCCTCCGATCAGCGCCATTCGGTTGGAACAGATGAGCAAAGCTGTGAGATGGCTTGTGATTGAGTTGCAGCATGGGTCAGGAGCTGCTGCTGCTTCTGCTTCAGCACACTCCCACCCTTCTGCTCCCTTTGATGCTAGATTTACTGAGGATGCAACACAATAGATACCCATATCTCATGAGGCTATAACATAACCAGTTTCTTTGTCTTTTGCTTGAATTTACTCTTTGGGAGAGGCATTTAGTGCAAGATAAATGTCTTGAACTTCGACCGAATGTGAAAAATGAATCCCTTCTCGTGTACCTACGGTTAATCTAATAGCTCAAACCCATCGTTAACTGATATTGTACTCTTTGGACTTTTACTTTCAGGTTTCTTCTCAAGTTTTTTAAAATGCAGTCTACTAGAGATAAGTTTTTATACTCAAATGATTCGTTCTTCTCTTCAACTGATGTGGATTTCACAATCCACCATCTCGTGGGCAAATGTCCTTGTCCATTTCAAAAACACTATAAATTTATTTCAAAAACACTATAAATTTATTAAAATTGAGATGAAGAGACCCAAATATTTGGGCATCTCTCTGTTAGAGCGTTTCTCGTGGAGTTCAATGTCCATTCCGCTGCTTAAACGATCCCTTTGGCTGATTCCAAACTCCACCTTTAACCTCCCATTTTCCCCTTCCTTCTTCTCATCCTCACCGGCCGCCGTACCTTTGCCGTCGACGAAGCCTTCAATCTCGACCGTTGTTTCAGTTCTTACTCACCACCGCTCTAAGTCTCGCTGGCGATTCCTCAACTCCCTCTGTCCTGACGGCTTCGATCCCGGTGAGTTTTCCGATATTGTTCTACAGATCAAGAATAATTCTCATCTCGTCCTCCGCTTCTTCCTCTGGACTCGGAGCAAGTCACTCTGCAATCACGATCTTGTTTCATACTCTACCGTCATCCATATCCTTGCTCGCGGCCGACTTAGAACTCATGCCAAGGATGTTATTCAGAACGCCATTAGGGCTACGGCGCTTGAAGATGACGATGATTGTTCCCAATGTGAGCGGTTTTCGTCTTCGAGGCCTTTGAAGCTGTTTGAAACCCTCGTTAAGACGTATAAACAGTGTGGCTCTGCTCCCTTTGTGTTTGATTTGTTGATTAAAGCTCTTTTGGATTCTAAAAAGCTCGATCCAGCCATTCAAATTGTTAGAATGTTACGGTCTCGTGGGATTAGCCCACAAATTGGTACGTTGAATTCGTTGATTCTGTGTATGTCGAAATGCGAAGGGGCTAATGCAGGTTATGCACTTTTTAGAGAAGTTTTTGGTTTGAATTGTGAAATTGAGGAAGAAAATGTCAAAGTAAAGGCTCGGGCTAGCCCTAATGTGCATACTTTTAATACATTAATGGTGTGTTTCTATCAAGATGGGTTGGTGGGGCGGGTGAAGGAGATATGGGATCAATTAGCTGATTCAAATTCAATTCCAAACAGCTACAGTTATAGTATTTTGATGGCAGTTTTATGCGAAGAGAAAAGGATGGGTGAAGCAGAGGAGTTGTGGGAAGAAATGAAAATGAAAAAGTTGGAGATTGATGCTGTAGCTTACAATACTATAATTGGTGGATTTTGTAAAGCAGGAAATGTTCGTAGGGCTGAAGAGTTCTTTAGGGAAATGGAGCTCTGTGGAACGGAGAGTACGTTCTCCACCTTTGAGCATCTCATCAATGGCTATTGTGAGACTGGAGATGTTGATTCTGCATTACTTGTGTATAAGGATATGCGCAGGAAATCTTTTAGTCTCAACCCTTTGATGCTGGAAGCAATTACAAGAGGGTTGTGTGTGGAGACGAGGCTTTTAGAAGCTTTAGACGTTTTCGGTTTCGCCACAGAACACACTAACTTTTGCCCGACAATGGAGACTTATGAACTTCTGATAAATGGTTTGTGTCAGAAAGGGAAACTTGAAGCTGCATTTAAGCTTCAAGCGCAGATGGTAGGGAAAGGTTTTAAGCCCAATTCAAAGATTTACCAATCTTTTATTGATGCCTACTCAAAAGAAGGAAATGAAGAAATGGTCAAGAAGTTGGGAGAGGAAATACTTGAAATCCAGCTGAGTTGAGACTGCAACCACATGATCAGAACGAAGTTTCTATAAACTCTAGAGGTTAGTTGAACTTATTTCTGATCAATTCTTGAAAAGGCATTTCGTATATTATTTCGATCATGTTTTCTGAATTCTGAGCTTAGGTTAGTTTAGAAAGTCGTTTATGTTCTTGGAATCAGTTCAAGGTAATCCACATTTTGTGGTGGTTTCATGAGATTTTTTTTCATAAATCTAAAGCTTTATGGCACTCAAAATCATTGTTAGTATGTATTAGGATTTGATTAATAAAGATCCCCATAAGGTGGGGGAAGGAGTATGTAGACTCTAGCTCGAAACTTTAAAGCAACAAAACTAGGAATTAAGATTTGCTTATTGGTTAATGCATTTCTACTCTTTTCAAGAAGTTGTAAATTTGATTCTTCCCACCCTACCCGTGAGATCCTACATTGGTTGGAGAGGGGAACGAAGCATTCTTTATAAGGGTGTGGAAACCTCTCTACAAACAAACACATTTTAAAACTGTGAGGCTGATGGCGATACGTAACGAGCCAAAACGGACAATATTTGCTAACAGTGGGCTTGAACTATTACAAATAGTATTAGAGCCAGTCACCAGGAGCAAGGATGCTGGATCCTCAAGGAGGGTGGATTGTGAGATCTCATATCGGTTGGGAGAGGAAAACAAAGCATTCCTTATAAAGGTGTCGAAACCTCTCCCTAGCATATGTGCTTTAAAACCGTGAGGGTGACGGTGATACGTAACGGGCCAAAAAAGACAATATATGCTAACGGTGGGCTTTGACTGACGGTGGCTTTGACTGATACACAACTATGATGAAATATTCTTGTCAGAATATTTTCTTATCAAGGAACAAAGAACTAGAAATAGAAGATGGATTATTGTTAATTGCTCAAAGTTGGTCATGGCTTTAGATTTCTCTTGGATAGATGCCTAGCGAATCAAAGTTTAAAGAACCTGGTTCCTAGACTTTTAGGACTTCGGATCCCTTAGAGAACCGGGGGAATGAATAGGCAACTTTGTCAAGGATGTTAACTTTGAGCATGACAATTTGAATCATGAACTTTGAAGTTTATAATCATCTTTTATTTTGTAATCTTGAAATAACTCTCAGTTCTTAGTAAAGTTTTTACTTCATAGAAAAATTCAATACTTTGTTATCTTATTACTTTTTGTTGAAGAAATTTATAAGGTTCGAAGGCATGTTTCTACCGAATCAAATCGAGTCTAGCTCGAGGAACTTATCAGTTATCTTGGTGATAGTATCTTCATATTATGAACCAACCTCCTCATAGTCTTTGGCTCATCTCATTCACCAAATTGTAAATTTCAGTCCCGTTTGATAACGATTTTAGTTTTAGTACCATTTCTTTACTATGGTCTTCACCTCTCTTAACGAAACAATTGAACTCTTAGCTGAACTCCAAACACGAAAACTACTTTTAGCCTTCAAAACTTAGCTTGGATATCGAAAACTAAACATGTAATATCCCACCTTGGTTGCGGAGGAGAACAAACCACCATTTATAAGGGTGTGGAAACCATCCCCTAGCAGACGCGTTTTAAAGCCTTGAGGGGAAGCCTGAAAGGGAAAACCCAAAGAGGATAATATCTCTGCTAGCGGTGGATCTGGGCCGTTACAAATGGTATCAGAGCCAGACACCGGACGATGTGCTAGCCTTCTCATTGTTCCCCGAAAGGGGTAGACACGAGGCGGTGTGCAGTAAGGACGCTGGGTCCCAAAGGAGGGGTGGATTTGGGGGCGGTCCCACATCGATTGGAGGAAGGAAAGAGTGTCAGCAAGGACGCTAGGGCACCGAAGGGGGGTGGATTGTGATGTCCCACATTGGTTATGGAGGAGAACAAACCACCATTTATAAGGGTGTGGAAACCTTCCCCTAGCAGACGCATTTTAAAGCCTTGAGGGGAAGCCCGAAAGGGAAAACCCAAAGAGGACAATATCTGCTAGCGGTGGATCTGGGCCGTTACAAAATAGTTATAGATAAGAAAATAAGATTCTTGTCTTTACTTCGTCTCTTCTTTAGGAGTTTTCAAGTTTCTATTACTTCTTTCATGATTCTTTTATCACCTAGTTTACCATTCTAACTTATAATCCTACTCTACCATAGTTTAACATCACTTGAACATCTATTTTGTCAATTAACTTTAGAATCACCCATGCTACTTGAACACAATCTATTTATTTTATGGATCATTGCACATTTGATAGACGAGTCTATGACATATAAATAAGCTTATTTCATATTTTATAAGATGAATATGTCTTGTAAGTATGTTACATGATGCAATACGACGAGAATTCGTCAAAACCCAACGGATAGAATTTGTGATATTGATGGTGAATTACGAGAGGAGACTAAATGTACTTGATTCCGAACATCACTTCATTGCTTGGTTGTGCCAAAAATGCTCTTAAAAAGACTGAATGTGGATGGGTTCTGATCAATACTTGGATCACTTGTGTGGAATCTTCTTTCCTATGTTCCTTTCAAATGAAAATTGACGCCAATGCTTGTGAATAATCCAACCTCACATTTTATCTTTATGTCAAATTTAAGATGAGATTCATATAATCTTGGAATAAATTCTTCCACTAAAATACCATTTTAATTGGATAATCTTTGCTATTTTTATAATTATTTTATTAAAAGCAAAGTATTTATTTATTATTATTATTATTTGTATTGGAAAAAGAATTTCCTTTCCACACTAATAATTCATTCTCTCTAAATATATATATATATAAACTAAAGGGAACAAATTAAAAATGAAAACTCAAGAAAAATGTGTCATTTTTTATTTCAATTTGCCATATCAAAATATTAAAATAGCTAAACATAAACTATATACTATCAACTAAAAGATTAGATCTTCAAGCATCCTACATATTGTTTAATTAAAGAACAGTAACTTTAATATTCCATCTTATCGATTCAAACAAGAACCCGAATAAAAATCTATTAGACATAGTTTTATGACAAAAAAAAAAAAAAAAAAAAAAAAAAAAAAAAAAAAAAAAAAAAAAAAAAAAAAAAAAAAAAAAAA